CATTAGGCAAGGCAAATGTTGCATACTCTGTAAAAAAATAGCAAGGGAAGTCTCCTTTTCGTTGCCTAAGATATGTTGAGATTTCTCTGCGAATGTCAGTAGCCAAATCAGGGCTAGAGTGGGATGGAAGACGCTTGACCACCTTAGATGCCATATCTGTGGCAGTCAGCAAAACTGCAAGCAAGTCCTCACGTTGGAACCGGATTGCTAAGTGCACTAAGGTGTATCCCACCTCAAATGCACTTGGTCTTTTCAGTAAGGTTACCTCATCCTGAGTCATTTGACGGGCAGGGTTACCCCCAGATGCAAGGTAAGTCTCCACAGCATCAGAATCACCTTCGACAACACCTATGCAAGCATTCAACCAAGACCAGTCTTTATCACGTAAGCGCTTTCGCAAGAGGCGCAACCGTCTTTCTTCAGTGCGGTTGTCCTGTTCATTTGGCGTGAATGGCAAAGCAGCCGTCGCCCCAACTTGCTGTTGTGGGTCAAGAGGTTCATTTTTATGAATATAAATGGACGAATGGCTGGTTGTGGTATTTGTTGAAGATTTAAGCGAGTCTGAAATTTCTAGGGATGATGATACAATAGGAGTGTTATGGCATGAGGTGCTGCCTTCAAGTATCGGCTTATTTGCTCCACAAATAACACACTTAAGGGACTTGGGCCAGTTGTCAAATGTGCAGGCTTTGCAAGTCCACTTGCCGAGGGAGCGTGTGAAAACCGAGGACACAGCTCGATTTTTATCATTGTAAAAGTCTTTGGCAGTTTCAGGAGAATTAGGAGAATTGCGTTTGGCCACATTATTACCTCCCTGGTCATCAGTGTTGATACAAAGAGGCTGACCCTGGACTTGGGGAACAGATGGATTGCACACACTAGCAGATGTTGGAGATTGTTTTCGAGGTGACAGACACTGTGTGCATTTCACTGCACGGGGCCAATTCAAGTATGTGCACAGATGACACGCCCATTTATCAGTCCAAGGGGCAACAAAAGTAGGGCTTTTACGACTGCTACTACCCTCAACATCATTTTGTGTAGGGCTTGTGTTAATGATGGTAGGTGTACTGCTGTTAGTTGATGATGACATCATAGATGCCATTTTATAGATGTCTTGCTCACTGTTAAACGTGTCATCTGTGATGATCTGTGGTGTTCGCGATGCACGACACAAAGTGCACTTCTTAGCAGCAGGGAAATTCTCATATGTGCAGTAGTCACAAGCCCATTTCTTTGTTTCATTCATTTTCCTCATATGGTCACAATTAACTAAAAAGATAAAAAAGAAAAAAAGATATCAGGAATCCTCACAGAACAAAAAAGAATTTCACAACAAAAGAGGTTTGAAAATAAAACTTTAAAGTTTAACAACCAATAACATTTATAAATAGCCCTATTCTATCAGTTACTCTTTCCTGGTCATTGAAAACTTTTCAATGCATTGATAAACAGTTTGAGGTAAAAAAAAAAAAAAAAAATTATATATCAAGGTTAAAACAACTTTTTTCCTCTACTGCCATTTTAAGTTAAAAACTACTTTCATTGTTAGTCTAAAGATGGCTGAAGTAAAGCTAGAGAATGGTGTAGTGATAAAGTTAGTGGTTAGCAATATAATCAAAACCGAGTTCAAATGCAATGAGCACTAAATTAAAACAATGGTCACCTCCATCCCACCAAACTGCTAGAATTTACTGCTATTATTTAAGAAAACTGAAACTTAAAATATACATTAAATAAATCTCACCTGTGACATACAGGTCATATTTATCTATTAAAAGATTGCTCCCTAGACTAGATTTTAAATCAGTTCAATAAAATGATTTCAAATCTCCTCATAATATTTTTGAATCTCATTACTATACATTCACATCATTGACATCAAATCACAAAATAAAAAATATCTATACCCAATATAGCAAAAACAGATGTATTTTTAATTAAAATTTTCAACTTTTCTCTTTAGAAAAAAATGTTGCCCAAATTAAAAAAACTTACTGCTCTCATCTGGGGATTCAACTTAAACAATCCATCAAGCAGATCCCATAAGCGTGTCTTGATTTTTCAGTAATAACTATTTAAGCAACTGAAAAATTTCATAGTCACTATGGAATTTTAATCATGTTCATTAAATTGTTCCTTTTATAAAATCATAAGCAGGAATAAACAAAAAAAAAAAAAAAAAAAACTAACTTACTGCAATTAATTTATGATATATTAATTTGATTATCAGGTATTTAAATTATGGGTTTTAACAGGGAGAGAAAAATGGTCACAAGGTATTTAATTATATCCAAGATCCTTAAAAAAATTTCAAAAAGCCCATCAAATAATTTTAACCTTTACAATTCTGCAGGTGTAAATGTCCACCGGTGACACTCTTTCTCAATATTCTCCAGATGGACATGTTCGCCAAGTGACAATGCTTTGTTTCAAAGGGAAAGTATATTTCTAAAAATAACCTATTACTGTGAAAATGACATCTTTAAGCTATGAACTGATGTCAGCCATTTTGTCCTAAATGAAATACTTGTTTTATCAGCAAATTTTAATAAATTATAAATTGTTTTTTTTTCAGTGGCAACACCAGGGGTGAGGCATGGATCTGTTACATCGATAGAGGAACTTTTCATGGACAGTGAGCGTGACGAAGAAGAATTTATCGAATGTGCGTGACAGTGAGACTGAAAGTGATTCCAGCCAAGAATGAGGAATTTTCAAACCATCACAAGCATATTGTAATCCATGGCTATCAGAATTCTCCTATACTCCTGAATGTAAAATGTTAATCAAGAAGCAAGTGAGATAGATGCTTTTCAGTAACAGTACTACACACTCACTAAAGAAATGAGTTTGGATGAAAATATGATTGCTTTCAAAGGGAGGACAAATCTCATGCAGTACATACCCAAGAAGCCGTCAGAATGAAAGCGTGGGCATTTGCAGAAGCAAAGATTGGCTACCTTTATAATTGGAAACTGTACTTAGGTAAAGATACAATTTAAAAATACACCAAATGTTACACATAGGATAGAATCACATTACTGGCTTGTCTACTTTACCACTGTGGCCATGTTACATGGACAATTTCTTTACTTTGCCTGAGTTGTTTGCCAAGTTAACTGAGAATGGCATGGGTGCATGAGGTACTCTTTGAACGAATTGCGTTTGAGATCCCTGCTGAAATCAAGAATGTGAAACCCAAGCCAAATGAAATTACCAAGCATGATGGCAACAGTCTCTTTTTGACTTAATGTGACAAGCAGCCAATCAACCTACATATTACCTGCCACATCAATCAGGCCATCAGGAAGGAAGTTAGGTTGAAGAACTACCAGGACCATGTTCGGATAATGGACAAGCCCTGTGCCATTGAGAGCTACACTAGAAACAATCATTTTGACAAGCCACTAACTTTTTTTTTTATTGCTGAGCACAAGTCACTGAAGAAAGCTTTTTTTTAACTTATTTGAAGGCTGCTTTTGTAATTCTTGGGTGATTTGGAGGGCATTACACTCCAGTCAAACAACTGGCTGAGAAATTCTGACTGAAGATAGTGCACAGACTTCTTGAAGAGTATCAGCCAACTGTGAGCTCTCGCCAAGGATTGCACCCTAATGACACTTGAGACATGCTGGTTATTGATGAGCACTACATCACAATAAATCCCAAACATATCAGCACTGGAAAGCCCTCGACTGTGTGGTGTGCTCCAGTAAGGATAAAAAGAGGCACCAAACTACCTATGTGTACTGGAATTGTCAGGTTCCCTTGTGTCCCTACACCTACTTTGAACGTTATACTTTGGTCAACAAGGTAGATTGTGAGACTGGATTACACAATTAACAAGCTTCTTAATAAAATACAAACTTTTTTTCTCAAAATTTATTATATGCACAATAAAAATAATATGTTTACATTTTCTACATCTTTTCATGCAAATACCCTGAAAATTTTATAACAGTTTCTCTAAAACCCTAAAAGTTAGTGCTAGTAATATACCCACCATTCAAAAACTTACCACACCCAAAATTAATGTGGATCCAGGGGGATACAACTCTGAAAGTTAGTACGGAGTTGTAAAGGTTAAAATTTCTCTTCAGTGAAAAGTTTAAAGAAAATTACTACTTTCAAACATTTATACTTAAGCAGTGATGGCATAACAATAAAGCTTAAATGTTGATTATATGAAAAAGACATTCCAATAGTTAACTGGATAAAGAAAAGCCATCATATAAACAATGGTTATCCAATAACAAAAATAAAATTAATATTATAAATAATCTGTTATTAGTGGATGATCAGATTATCAAGATATTAATTATAAAAAGCAAAACTCTTGAATAAAAAATAGCCATTTGAGATTCCCAACTATACAATAAGCATCACTTCTAAGAAAAGTGATTGCAAAGGATTTTCTTTTGAATTATGTTGTAACTAAAACTGACCCAACATCATGGTCAAGCAGAAAATTGTGTTGCAAACATTTCAGTTATCACATTTGGCAAAGAGGCTAGTAGAAAATTATCACAAAGTATTTAACAAAGAAAAATATGTTACTATAGTCATTGAAAAGCATTTTTAAGCTTTGCCTAAAATAGCAGAAGTAAATAGTTTCGTTTGGAAATAATATCTTATTTCTATTTCATATGAATAAATAATGGAGGTTGAGAAACAAAGCCACAGGTTCAAGCAGGTCTACTGAAATGGCAGAAAAAGAATATCACTAGTGAAGACAATGTTTGAGAAGAAATAACACTCGACAAGAGATAAAAAAATAAATCAATATTTTCAGCCAATCACAAATGCATAATAGTTCAACAACGAATACATTTAAATCAATAAACAAGTCAACCATTTTTAAGTTATAACAAATATATGGAAGAAAATTTTTTGGATCATACAGAGTTAAAATAATAAAATTACAAACATTTAATATAACAGAACATTACTATAATGGAAGTGGAATTTCATTTTTTCTATTTAATACATGAATAATGAAATCAAATTCTTACTTGTTTCTAAAGTAAGAGTCTAGATGAGAACAAAGAAATTTTTCTCTCCAAAAGCCAAAAATAGTTAAATATTAAATGGTGTTTAATGACCTGGCATGAGAGAGAAGAGGTCAATGTCAAGTTCTTCAGAGTGAGGAATTAAAAAAAAAAAAAAAAAATAACCACTATAAAAACTGGAGCCAATAAGTACTGCCAAAAATAAAAAATAAAAACAAACAAACAATACCCAAGTTTTAAAATGAATTTTTAAAAATAAAAAAAATCTTTGTTGAAGCTTTTATCTTAATTTTAATTTCATGCTAATAGATTAAATTTAATATTTCCAATAAGCAAAATGCTTTGCTGTATTTCAAAAACTTATTTAAATTGAGTGGAAAGAATTTTTTTTTTTTTGCTAAAACAGCGGATTTTTAGTCATCTTTCATCACAATGTCATGATCATCACTAAAAAAAAAAATCTTCCAAAAATATACAACAATTATTTACTTTAAGTTTAAAATATCGAAAAAATGCATTTTTAAGCAGACAGTAGCTGTTTATTTAATGTGTTCACAGATTTGACAGCTTAATGACAGATTGACATTAACCTAATGTTGTTCAATGGGACTTTAGGCATTAAAAAAGTAACTGAATTAATGTCAGCATTTTTATTTCATTTTTAAGTACTCAGTAATCTTAAAAATTTAAGAAAATATTCTCTGTATTCTAATGCTTTATTGAATTTTAAATATTTTTGACTGTAAATTTATTATAGTTATCACTCTTATTTTCTGATAATGTTGTGTATGGTTGGCCATATAATAGAAAATCAGCATATTTATACATTTAAAAAAAAAAAAAAAAAAAAACATTGATTTACCAGAAAAAAAGATGCTAAATTTTTTAATACTAATCTGCTACCATCACTGGTTTTTGACCAAAATTTTAAATGTGCTAGAAAGGATTAAAAAAATTTAATAAAATAAAATACTTTGGCCTTTCCTTTCAATAACTAATATTTTGATGATATATTGTTTTTATCAAGTTTAGGACCTTTTTCATCATGCTATGCTCATTTTTCAGCAAATTATTGGAGATACCCATCAAAAATTAATTTAATTTCAGTAGAACATATTAGTGGGCAAAATTAAGCATTTATACTTTTGAGCAACTACTAAAATTATGTGATCAAACTAAAGAGAGAAAAAATGTGGTTCTTGAAGGTTAAAAAGGTTGTGTTTATATTATATTCTTTGCCTAAACATTACACACACTTTT